CCCAGAACAGATTGTATATACATAGTCTAGCCTAAAATGAAGGGGAGGGGGGAACTCACATTCATATGTCCTTATCTTGCACATTTAAAACGATATTAGCATTATTAAAGTATTTGTCACAGTTAGGGAAAAAGTGGTATCTATGGAACATTATTTTTTTTTTAAAGAATCTTTATGCTTTCTCATGTGTTATTCAGTTGAATAGCAACACTTGCTAATGAATGCTTATACTCTGCTGCATCATTCTATAACAGGGGAGGCAATCTACGGCATGCATGCCGAAGGCGGTACGTGAGCTGATTTTCAGTGGCACTCACACTGCCCGGGTCCTGGCCACTGGTCCGGGGGGCTCTGCATTTTAATGTAATTTTAAATGAAGCTTCTTAAACATTTTAAAAACCTTATTTACTTTACATACAACAATAGTTTAGTTATATATTATAGACTTATAGAAAGAGACCTTCTTAAAACGTTAAAATGTATTACTGGCACGCGAAACCTTAAATTAGAGTGAATAAATGAAGACTCGGCACACCACTTCCAAAAGGTTGCCGACCCCTGTTCTATAAGAATTAATCTAATATATCATTCAGTAAATGGAACTTTTGTGATTTTTGGGCCTGCTCCTGCTATCACTGAAATCAACAGTAAAACTTGCATCAATTTCAATGTGAACAAGATTTGGCCCTTTATTATGGAGATGTTGTGGAGATCATGAATCCACTGATTAGGTTTAGTCAAGTTTTGCACTTAGTCAGGTATTCAACATCTACATTATGTATGAAGAATTCAGAATATTCTTCCCAAACTGACAGCATATACTCTTTGTGCACTGAAATGCTAAGAATTTACAATAACATTTGTTAATTTGAGTTAAAATTAATTTTAAATTTGTTCTTTTAGAAATTTAGTACTTGCCAGACCTTTTTGTGTCCCAAATTATATTAATAACAGAATAATACAGATTCTTCGAACTTTACATAGAGTCAAAAGTCATTAGTTTTATGCATAGGTTACATTAGGCTGGAATTAATTATTATAGATTAATAGACAGGGCCAGGTCAATAATTCATATCACTCTTCATTAGTGCTTTTGTGCCATCAAGATTTACTTAGCCAATCATTGATCTTCTTCTCCAGCTAATTGGCATGATGCAGTTCTCTTGTTTGTAATGAGTCAGTGGTTGTGAGGGAAGTGTACATGTGTCAAGTAGGGTTGTCAGGTGTCTGGTTTTTGACTGGAACACCTGGCCTAAATCTGGCCAAAAAGGGACCCTGGCAGCTCTGGCCAGCAGTGCTGACTGGGGCATTAAAAGTCCGGTTGTTGCTGGGCAGGCAGGCTTCCAGCTCCCTGTGGCTCCGGGGAAGCGGCCAGCATGTCCCTCCGGCTCCTAGACATAGGGGTGGCCATGGGGACTCCGTGCACTGCCCGTGCCCTGAGTGCTGGCTCCACAGCTCCCATTGGCCAGGAACAGCAGCCATTGGGAGCTGCAGGGTTGGTGCCCATGGGCAGGGGCAGCGCACGGAGCTCCCTGGCCCCCCTGCCTAGGAACTGCTGCTAGAGGGATGTACTGGTTGCTTTCAGGAGCCACCCGAGGTAAGCGCTGCCCCCTTCAACCCTTCCTGCCCCCCAAATCCCAGCCCGGAGCCTGCACCCCGCACCCAAACTTCCTCCCAGAGCCCTGATTCCCCCTTCTGCACCCAAACTCCCTCCCAGAGCCCTTGTTAGTTCCAGCAGACATCTTAGGTGGAAAGCAGGGGTGTTCTCATGACTGGCAGCCCCCTTTGTTCTGTTCCACCCCCTTTCATAGCTTTGGCACAAGGCAGGAATCTTTGGTCTCTCTGGATCCCCACTCTCCCTTCTAAATGGAAAAGTACCAAATTTAAGATGGATTCCAGTATCATGTGACATGGTCACATGTTCTCTGAGACCTCATTTTTCATTACCCATGGGCTGGCCCACATGTACACAGGAAGGCTTTCAGGTAAATAAACCCATTCACAACCAATTGTCCTAGTGAATGGGAGCCATCAAGATTCTAAGCTACCATTAATGGCCCACACTTTGCATAATTACAATAGGACCTTAGAGTTATATTTCATATTCTAGCTTCAGATACAAGAATGATACATACATTCAAATAGGAGGAATATATTCAGTAGGTTATAACCTTTGTAATGATACCTTACAAGAGACCTTTTGCATAAAGCATATTCCAGTTACATTATATTCACATTCATAAGCATATTTTTATAAAACATGTGGAGTGCACCATCACAGTGCCATTAGACAGTTGGCAACCCTACCCATCAGGGAGGCTGGGAGGAATCCTGCTCTGGCAGGGTGTGGACAGTAAACCCAGGGGCGTGGGGAAAATTCTGAGGGAAAAGAAGAATACCCCAGCCCACTGCTAAATGGAAGCGCGGGACCCACCGAGGGAGAGAGGAAGCTCTGTCACAATATATATATATATATATATAAGTACTTTGTTACCTTGGTATGAAAGCCATACCTTTACGTGCAAAATGTTTTTTGTTATTTACTCTTTAAAAGGTTTCTATAAGTGCACACTAAATTATTTTCAAATTATTTATATCTTTTATTATGAAAGAGAAAAAAATTCCTAGTCTACATTTCATGTTTATAAAATAATTTTTATATTATAGAAGCACGAAAAATCCTCAAACTGATGAACTTATGCAACTTGAAAACGGCCAAACAAAGGTTTTTTCCCCATCTTATTACAAAATGTATCAGACAAGATTCCAGACATTCCTAAATCACTGCTTCAGTAAGACTAAAATCTTTGATCAATTAAAACAAACTTTAATTTCCTTGAACAGTGATTGAAATACAGGAAAATGCTTTTTTTGGTTATAGAAACTTCAGCAGTCTTTAATACCCGAAGCTGATTTTTTAACAAATGACTATAACCTTGCTTGAGGGATGTCACAATGATATCAATAAACCCAATGGTTTGAAGTAACCAAGTTTATTTTCATTTTTCAGTGTCTCTACAATTTGATATGGGTCTTTTAAAGAAATGGCTCTGATAAAGCTATATATTCTATGAACTGTAAACATTTAATAAATGAGAAATATACTACAATGAGTCCTTGTTTTGACCTTGTACACATTTTCTTCATAGCTGTCATTAACCATTGAAAATGAGGTGTATAGTTGAAGCAACTACTGACTCCCATTGACACTATAGGCACCATCACAAATTAACTAATTTCAGTAGATACATGCAGAAATAGACCCATGTTTATTACTCCCATGAGCTATCCTTTTAAGCCCTCAATTCAGCAAAGCTCTTAAGCTCAGATATAGCTTTAACTGCATGCTTAAGTCCATCCATACACAGCAGAGAACTTAAGCACAGGCTTAAGTTTAAATATATATGTAAATTTCATTGACGTAAATGGGACATAAGCATGTGCTTAAATTAAGCCTGTGCTTAAGTGCATTGCTGAAGAATAGACTCAAGCACATGCTTAAAGTTAAGCATATGCTTACTTTATTAAATTGAGCCCAAACCCACAGGGCTACTTTTTAAAATAAGGGCTGTTCATTGTGGATGTGACGTGCCAGTCGCTGTTCCGTAGTTGAGGATGACATACTTAAATATTCATTCAGAGAAAGAGAGCGAAAATGACTCGATAGCCCAGGAGTTTGGGTGCCCACCTGGAATTTGGGAGATCCAAGTGCAAGTCCCCGTTTCAATGACTATTTGATTATTTATACAGAATGGAATAGCTTCAGTGGGAGAAACTGAGAAAAACCCACCCCAGAGTACCACATAGGCCAGTAACTAGGGCATTCAGATGGGAGAAGTAGACTGGAGTTCAAATTCCTGTGCCATTGTAGCCAGAAAAGGGATTTGAACATGATTCTCTTGTATTTTGGATGAGTGCTGTAACCACTGGGCTAACATTGGTAGGGGTACTGCTGTTGCCTCCTCCCACTGACCATACTTACCTGATTGGGCTCCACAGGTGAGTTAGGTGGGGCAATGCCTATCTTGAAGGTCCCACTGGGGTTTAGGCATGAGCTAGGTGCTTAGGCATTAGGACTTAGGTGGCTATGCATATGCCCGGCAGCAGAAATTTAGGTACCTTGAGGACTTTACTAGCGGAAACTTGGGTGTTTGCAGGGTTATGTGGCAGCTGAGCTGGTGTTTTGAGGATCTAAATTTTGGACTGAGGCACCTAGCATGCCAGTTAGTCACCTGAATCCCTTTGTGGATCTAGCCCTTAGTTTATTTTATTGTTAAAATTAATTAAAAAATAGGCCCATTAAGATGTGTAGTCAGACCGTTATTAACTTCCTCCTGAATGAAAACTATTTAATATATTTTAAAACTTCAGTTTAATCTGTCAGAACAGACACTATTACGCACTAAGCTTAATTGTACAGGTATTGCATGATGCCATTACAGGGCAAAATTAAGGTTTTTTGAATGCCTTAACTGTGTACTACCATGCCTTGATATGTTTGGATTTCTTTAAACTTTAAACCTTAACTCTGAATTTCCTAGGCTTGTAGTGCTTATTTTTGGGATAATTACAAGATCCCTGTAGTGTTTTTACCATTTAAATACTGAAATGTATTAATCCTTAATTCCATGTTATAATGTAATTTGTATCTGGGAATATAAATAAGAGTTTTGCAGGATCAGGCCTTTTAAGAGAACAAGCTGATATTGTTAGCAGCAGCTGTATGAAACAATGTATGAAAGCAAGAGAACTTGCTTTATATTTATTTAAAAAAATATTTCTCTGTATTAAATCTAGCTCCTTTTCAATCTGCAAAAATATTTGCTAATGAAAGTGTAAAATATACTATATATTTATAGAAAAGATTTAATTTCTTTTTGCCCTCAAGAAACTCTTGTTATTTTAGAAGCTTTAAGATAATAATATCAACATAAAACAGCTGTATTTGAACATGTTTAACTAGTGACCCATCTGAAGTGGTTAATTATTTCGATTCCTAGAAGACCTCACAAGAAGTAGTAAACCTTGGTGGATGAATGATACATCTGCTTTTCCAGCTTCACTTCCAATTAATAACACTCTAAGTAGTCATCGTCGACAGAAGAGATCAGTAAGCATTGAACGCTTTGTGGAGACGCTGGTAGTAGCAGACAAAATGATGGTGGGATACCATGGTCGCAAAGACATTGAACATTACATTTTGAGTGTAATGAATATTGTAAGTTTGACCCCTCTATATATTAACATAATTAACACTTTTTATAGGATGGGCAATTATGCAATATGGTTTTCTGATTTGAAATAAACAATGCTTTAAAATATGTATCAGCCTGCAAAAAGTGATATATAGTAAAATGTTAGTATTAGGAGATAAATAAGATGTGCAATACTATTGTCTTTTCTCCATCAGAGAGAATATTATGATCACTGTTAAATCATGTTTCAATGCCTTTGGGTTTCATTTTAAATAAATTGACCCTCTAATTAAGAGTTATAGTGATTACACTTTTGGTTGGTTCTTTTCTTTAGCTAGCACTCTGAACATCTCTTGTCATGAGTTATTCAGTTGTGAAACAAGTTTATTCTATAAAGTGTTTGCAGTGAAAATAGTGTAGGGAATATTGATTCATCTTACTGAATAGATTAAGGCTTACTTAGAAATAGTTCTTTAGATGCTTGTAAGAAGTGTTCAAATTATGAAATTATATTTACTAAGAGACAACAGACTAATTTTTAAGCATATGTCAAATGAATGGTGTTTCTTGTCTGACTTTGTGTCTTTTCTTCTTTTCTGGAGGTCAGGTTGCCAAACTTTATCGTGATTCCAGTCTAGGAAACGTTGTGAATATTATAGTGACTCGTTTAATTGTTCTCACTGAAGATCAGGTAAGACTGAGCTGCAATTACATTAAACTTCAGACCAATAAACTACAGCATACTTCACTCTGTACCATTATAGAATCCACCTAATTATTGTTTAGAAAGGCTATATTTGAGTATAAAACCTCATCTGTAATCGTTTGCTATTTTTAAGGAAGATTGAAATAGTTTCAAGGAATATGCCTCATTTATTGTTTTAATATTTACCCAATGTAACAGATATCTTCAACTTACTTTTGGAGATTTCAGTGGTAGAGACTTACAATTACAATTTTATTTCTATGTCTATATTTTTATAATCTAAAATTTTTATATTGACATAATCATTATTAAAGCTGGAAGTGAAAGAATGCCTGTTCAGTAATACACTAACTGAACTCTGGGTCAGATTTTAGAGATAAAAATTGGCAAGAAGAGATTATTCCTAGAAACCACTGCTTCTAATTATAGTCCCATTTTAGTCTTCAAAAGGCTTAACAACTGACCGTAGTAATTTGTTTGGAACATTTCTGGTATGCATGTTGTATTGCAGCCAAACTTGGAGATAAACCACCATGCAGACAAGTCCCTCGATAGCTTCTGTAAGTGGCAGAAATCCATTATCTCCCACCAAAGCGATGGAAACACCATTCCAGAAAATGGGATTGCCCACCACGATAATGCGGTTCTTATTACTAGGTATGGTTTATTGCAGGTCTTGTATTTATTTTATCTTCTTTCTATGGTTTTCTTGTATTTACTTATGTATAAAACCTATATTTAAAGTAATTTAAGGGGTAGGTAATCTTGTGAGGGTAAAAAGATAATATGTTGCTTGTCTTTGAGAATATATCAGACCATTAAAACATAGATTTTAAAAAATTGGAAAGAAAATGTCTAAGAACTTACAGTATTTACAATTTAAATAACTTCAATAACTGTGCTTCTCATAACTGCTCCCATAAAAAATCTTGGAGTAGATCTGATGAATTTGCTTGATATATATAGTTGAACAAAAATTCTAAAAATTCTGGGAAAAAGATCAACAAGCAGGAGAAAAAAATTGTTTTGTTACTACTGTATAATGTTTTCAGTGTAAAACATTATTGCCAAATCCTTGGTGTAAATCAGTGTCACTTCACTGACTTCAATGGAGCTATGAAGATTTACACCAGCTGAGAATCTGGCTGTGTATTTGTGGCTGTGCTATCTAACCTAATTTAAGAAAAAAGTGAAATTTTTAGTGTTCATACCAAGACTACTTATGTGTAAAGGTGTCTTGCTGTACATATTACCATTTCTATGAGCCGGTTCAACACTGCTAAATCTATAATCTTTCAATCCTGTTAAATACTCGGTTTTCTCTGTGTAGTTACAGGTAAACAAATATTGTACCCTACAAATAGATTGTCTTAAAATAGCATTTCGCGTGCACCTGTTCCTTAGGGACAGTTTTCTTTTTTTCTAAATAGTCAAACAGTGATGCTAGTATTGATCTATATAGCTAAGGATCGTTAATGTTTCTATTATAAATATCCTTTTCAAGGGGCATATTCTATACTCACTCAACATGTCAAACTTTAATGGAGGTTTTAGGTATGGAATCAGTGTAGAATAATGCCCTCAAGATTTATAAGACAAAATTCACTCCTGGTTGGAATTTGAGCATAAAAGCTATGATATTTTTGAAAAAATTCTTTCATCTGTTTTTGAATTACAGTAGCACAGCAATGAAAGAATATGCTAGAGGCACTGGATTCTTGTATGTAACCATTTTGAGTGCAAAATGTGTTTTTCATCAATATTTCATAAATTACTTTTAATATATGCAATTAATGAGCACATGTAGTAGCTAGATTGATACAATACATTCCAATATCCTTGAAAGAACTGCTTTGGTCTAATGGGTAAAAATCACTTTGAAAACATCCTTAAATAAAGTACAAATTTAGAACCTAATAATGTTCCATTTTAAGGCACTGATTCTGCAAAGACATGCGTAATATGCAGGCTTAATTTTATACATGTGAGTAGTCCCATTTATATACACATATGTATGTCTCTAGCTGTTGTATAAACAAATAGTCTCAAAGTCAATGTTTTTATATACTTTCATGAGGGAGTGCTTTTTTCATTCAATGATTATAACTATCTAATAAAACTATAAAAATGAAATTCTCACACAAAGTCTACAGTAAATAATATTAAGGACTTGACCTTCCTCACCCAGAAATCCCTGACTTATGCTGATTTATTTTAGTAAACAGTGCTAAGGCTGAAACATTAGTCTTAAGTCCCCAGTTACATCAGCCCCCCTCCTGGAGCATGGCACCAAGCTGGTATAGAAAAGGAGACTGTAAGGCATTCTCTCCTCCCTTTTCCTTTCTCACAGCAATTAAAAAAAGATTGATAAAAGAGATTTGCATGGTCTGCTTACTGTAGGCAGGATTGGGGACGTGGCATGCTTCTATCAGCGATGCCAGTGTTTATGCTATAGCCAGAAAGGAATGCTGATCAGCAAGAGTATTTCCTGGCAGCAAAAACTGTACCCCCTCAACACTGATGTGGAGACCCTGAGGACACAAGGCGTGAAGCCGTGTTTGAAGATTTTTTTTTTCTTTTTGAAATAGCTCAGCAGTTTATTTTCTTTCAAATAAATGTCATGGTAGCTAAGTGCAGGTAGCTAATACTGTACACTTATTGCAGAGTCTCAGAATAGTGGTTGAACCTACATAACATATTTCACTTAAACACAATGGGAATATTTGATAAAGGAATTGTGCCCATTATTCAACATTTCCTTGCTTTTATCTCTTTACTTGAAAACTCTGAAGTTATTTTGTTTGTGTTGGTTTTGTGCACAGGATAAGTCTGTGGTTGAACTAAAATGTTAGACAAATGAAGGCTGTTTTCTCTATCACAGTCCCTTATTGGATGGTTCACTTAGTCATTTTTAGTATGACACTATACCAAATCCTAATATTTTATCCTGTAATTGTTGCAGTGAATTCTTTAAAAAGAAATATTAATAATGTTAGGATACTGAGCTGATAGTTTTCTATATAAAGTCTACTATTGATTAATACTATAGTATTGTTTGGATAATCAATCTCCTCCTTCCCATAAAGTGACTCTGACTTTAGCAAACCCCAATGGAGCCTTAGCAATTTTCTTTTTATTGGCAAAAGAACATTAAAAATAGTATGGAAACTTGTATAGGTCCATATTTTATCTCTGAATGTGCACAGGAGCAGTGTGTGCCTTTTGAGGACAAAATACAGTCATTAGACTTGAATACAACATTGTTGGTGTCACAAATGGTATCATCCTATTTTAGCAAGATGATCTCCATCTTGGTAGGGTCAACTCTGTGGAACTGGGCCTAGGCTTTGTGAATCTCTGTGCAAAACAAAAAAGCATAGAGACCCATCCAGTTTCTTTCCCTCCTATGAGTTGGATCCCATATCTTTGTAGACATACAGCATCCTCTTCCTGGTAGCCTCTTGTCTGCCTGTGACCCAGCTGCTATCTCACATCTGAGGCTCTAAGAACCATGTTCTACATAGTTTCTCTTCCAAATATGAAACTTTAGAAGCTAAAATACCCAATATACTATACTACAAATTATTTTTGCTATGGCAGATGGAGTTAATACTTTCAGCCTGAGTTGGGCTTTTGGCCCTACTTCCTCCCCTGTTTCAAAAAATCTCTTCCTCTGTTGAGCCTGAAAGCCAAAAAAAAAGGGGGGGAAAAAAAAAAAAGAGATCTTTTGAAACCATCCATACCTTTACCCTCCTGGCAACTTTTTAGCCCCCCTTTGTGCCCCCCCCCCCATGATTAATTCTATAGCAGCATAAATTAGGTGCAAGAGTGTTGCTTGACCTAGTCACCTGTGCAGAAAAGTATGGGGGCATGAAGTGTCCTCTTGCTCCCTTGCATGGTCTGCTTGCATCACCGCTCACAGTGTGAGGGGAATAAACAAAATAAAAGTTATATTCTCTCTCTTTCTCTCTCAACAAAACAAAAGGATCTTTAATCAAGCTCATTAATTTCTGTAAGGTATAGACTCATAGCCTGAGACTATTAGCTTGTTATACCCAGGTACTGAAAAGCTGTTTTTTCAAATAACATATATGACTGATTGAATAAAATGTTCAGGGACTGAATCTCCTCCTGCTGGGAGGGAAGATCCAGAGCCATTAATTTTATTCCCTGGTATGGCAGCAGACCAAGTAAAACACATATCCAGCAACCTATGGAGAAGAGAGTTCTAGGGCGAAACTGAGATGCGCGTGTGTATCTCCAAAGGGCAGAATTTGGCCCCTAGAATTTAAATGTTTTAAACAGAGAAACATTTGGAACTTCATTCACTTAAAGGGATAGTGTTTGTTTAAAAGAATAAGAGCATGAAATTTCACATCCCACTGATAGTATTCCATCTTTGGACTTTTTTTTGTCTTTTAGAATTAAATACAAATATAATGTGGTTTGCAAAAAACAAAGTGATTTAAATAAGAGAATAACTTGTTACAGCCATAAAGGATTTAAGAAGAGTTTGTTCTTATTATTGAGTTAGAGACAGTTTCTCTTTTCCCATTCACAAACTATATTGTTTCTTCTTCAATAAAGTGCTGCAATGACATTGACACAGATGTGGCTCCTGCAATTAGTACCTTATCATGCCTAGAAATTTGGAAAGTTTGTAATATTAAAGTGATTGAAATCCCTATAAATAATGATTTTATATATAGCTTAATCCTTCAACTCTATACACACAATAAACCTACTGAGTTAAGTGGACCCCTTGTGTGAGAGTAAACACTACATATATGAGTAAAGAATCAGGCCCATAGTGTTTTATACTGAGTAATCCAAGTATTTTAATAATCTATATTTTAGACAAACTGCAGGAAAACTAGAAAATGCCATATGTGGTATATTTTGTGCATTTTCAAGTGGTTACACATACTTTTTTGGGCTGGAGACATTGAGGAGGCCCTGAGCACTTTTCTTAACTAGACGCTTCTGTACTGTTGCCAGCTACTACTGTCCTTATTATTTAGGAAGTATATTTCTAGGCAATATGCTGTGTTTCTCCTTTTGTCACTAACCAATATGCTCTGCAACATGCATCCCCAGCACTGCCAGTATCCACAGGAAAGGCAATAGCATTGCTATACATTTGTTTCTCTGGATTTTTCACATCCTTTCAAATAATGAAAATGCATAGAAATATGTTCATGTTTTATTGTATATGCAAAAGAATCACTTCACCCACTGAATGACAGACCTACTTCAGTGAGTCACTTGGCAGCTGTTTTCCAGGACACAGCAACACTATGTAACATTTTAGAATGCACAGTAGAAAGTATTGTATCCAGGGGCATAGCCTATGGTAGGGGTTAATGCAGAGGTGCAGTGGCCCAATCGGAGTTCCTCGAGGCATGATGCCACAAAACTCCCTCTGAGAGCATAGCAGTGAGGTCCTTTAAAAGAGTGCAAGATATGTTCCCCCAATGTGGGGCCATCTTTGCTGGCCTTTTCAAGGGAGAGGAAAGGGTTATGGCATCAGTGTTAGGCTCTTAGTCTTTGTGCTCCTGAACTAAAGGACTCTAATTTTTCTTGACCTCTGCATAGATGCACAAAAGAGAGGCAAAAAGCTTCTTTAATTTTCATGCATACCTGTGTAGAGCTGACTA